TTTTCGTACAATCAGGGTCCATAATCCTGGAAGTTACAGTCCGATATGCGCGAATATCGAAAGGAACCGAAAATAAGTTGTAAACATACATCTTAAGTTTCATCAAAATCGGATAAAAATTGTGACCTCTAGAGTGTCCACAAGCTAAATACATCAAGTTACGATCCGATACATGCCAATATCAAAAGGAACCAAGATCTCGGGGAGATAAACATACAGAGTGTCCAGAAACAAAATGTGAATGGATGTCCAGAGACGATGACAATATAAGTCAACATGAAAATGTGGATATATATATATAAAAACTGAAGCTTCACAAGGTCACAGAATGATTATTATCAATAGTGATTGTTCCCTCAGTGTGGGCATATTAAAGCATAATTATCTTTTGTTTAAAATCTAATTTCAATTTCAGAAACGTAACAGTAAGCTTACATAGACGTTTAGCAGAATATCAAAAATCAAATTGAATCTTTCCTAGCTTTATTAAAATGAAGAAAATCAATAATTATTAAAAGCGGTATTCCTTGTGCAATAAAGACAATAAAACTTAAATATATTTTCCATTACAGATGTGAATATAAAATCGATATTGGAACTGTAACATAAATACGTGTATAGAATTAAAGTGAGTAATATAATCCGCATTGATTTCAGTTCAGATATAACCACAACCATTAGCAAATACTGAAATACATCTACCAGTATTTCTGTTTGCAATTCCTGTATGAAGATGATTAATGACAGTCAATGAACCATAAGCCCGCAAACAGCTTATACAAACAGCTTAGCTGTCAAAGCTATTAAACATACATTATGCAAGAGCTAAATCTGCCTATTGCAGGTCTTTCTTTAGGCCTGAAATGTTATCTAAATTATAAATTAGACATTAATTAACTTATCCAGACCATAATCAACTCTAGATGGCATCGCTAGCCTGCGATCTTAAGTGGATTATGATCCGATTTACTGCATGACTTTCCTTCTCGATTAAACAATTAAATGGATAATCGAGACTATGCTCTTTAACGTACTGACTTTAGTAATGATGACCGAGGCTAGGCAGAAATTTTATTCGCTTAGTTCTCGGTTCATGGTGGATCAATTTGAATGAAATTTTCAGCAAATTGCCTTTACGTTATCTAGTTTTTAATTATTATAGTGAGAACTGCCAACTCGTTATCGAATCTCCCATAATGTATCTTTAATAATGGGGGTCGCTGTTTACATAATTTAAAGTCTTGAACTACATGTAGCTTCTGGATGAATTTCAAAAGGGTTCATCTTACATGTACTTTATGGCAACAAGTTCACAATTAAAATCTCAAAGCATCGGATCGTAACTTTTGTATGCTCTAGAACGTCCACAAGCAATTGGAATCATATCCCAGTGGTAGGGTACCCCACCATAAATAAATATACTATTCAAAAAAAGTAGGGGATATTTGATTTTGGGGGCATAATACTAAAATATGCAAATGACTACGAAAAAAGTCACTATAGAACCTAACAGAAGAAACATTTCCAGTTACATGTGACGCCCAAACGCACCAATAGCTACCACATGGAATGCAGGTGATGCTTGGGATCATCATGGGGGTCCAACCCAAGATTTGCACGACTCTGACTTTGAATGTTACAGTCATTGTGGCATTGAATTCCAGGGTGGAAACATCAGTTTAATTGTTTTAGTGACCAGAAAACAAATTTTGATATGCGTCGGCTTACCCAAAATGAAAGGTTACGTGCCCTTGGCATGCTACAGATCGGCACAACACAGGCGGTTGTGGTGCGGACGATGAATGTTTCTCAGTCTGTCATAAGCAGGCTATGGTCCAGATACCGTGATACACAATCTGTACAGGACAGACCACGCTCAGGTCGACCAAGGGTGACAACTCAAGCCCAGGATCGATTTATCCGTACCTTGGCCTTGAGAAATCGTGTCATCACAGCAAATCAGATCAGCGCTCGTCTTCAAACAGACACTGGTGTGAGAGTGAGTGGCCAGACGATTCGGAATCGACTGCATAGGGGTCACCTTCGCGCCCGACGTCCTCGCGTGATCCCTTGTTTGAGAGATCATCACATTCAGGCAAGACGTCGTTGGTGTAGGGATCGTCAACACTGGGATAATCGACGCTGGAGCAATGTGATGTTTTCAGATGAGTCAAGGTTCACTGTTGATTTTTTGGACAGACGTAGGAGGGTGTGGCGTCGTCGAAACGAGCGCTTCCAAGACGTTAACGTCATCAGACATGATCGATTTGGGGGTGGTTCTGTTATGGTGTGGGGAGGCATCACTGTTGCTGGAAGAACGGCTTTACATGTTGTTGCAGGGCGTGTTACAGGCCAGTACTACCGGGACAACATCTTGGCAGTCCATGTTGTGCCGTTCGCACGACGTCATGGCCGCCGTTTCATCTTCCAGGATGACAACGCAAGATGTCACAGGGCCAGGATCGTTACAGGTTACCTCCAACAACAGAACATCACCACATTACCTTGGCCAGCACTGAGTCCCGACCTCTCCCCCATCGAGCATGTCTGGGACATGCTTGGACAGAGGTTACGTCAACGTCAACAACGTCCTGCCAATGTCCAAGAACTTGCTGCTGCGTTGCAACAGGAATGGGACAATCTGGACCAAAATGACCTTAGACGTCTCATTAGGAGTATGCCACGTCGGATCAATGCTTGTTTGGCAAACAGAGGAGGATTTACCCGTTACTGACTTGGTTGTGATGCTGTGGTAACTTTGCTGTTTGACCCCGGGTATCATTTTACCCTTATAATGGTCAGTCTGTGCCTTACTTAGTCTAACGATCATTTGGAATAAATCGATGAATGTGAACTTCATTTCATTTTGTCATTTGTTTCTTCGTCAGTTTCATTAGGTGACTTTAATAACACTTAAAAATCAAATATCCCCTACTTTTTTTGAATAGTATATCTCCAAATATCTCGACAATTACACCACAATATTTATATACACCAAGCCTTATATCAGTTTCAAACATTTATAGTCACTAAATAAATGGTCATGTTGTACTTAATAAGCTACATGTATGACCATTTAATCATCCATAAATAATACACTGAAAGATGGTTACGAATGTCGGCCATAACAGGTTACGTGCCCTTGTTTTGAAAGCAGTCTCGCTTACCCAGTCTACCAACCATTCTACGTTTGATTGACAGGCCGGGATAATCAAGACTACTTTTTTACGAAACATAGCAGAAAGCTGGAACAAGAAATTGAATTTAGAAACATGCACGTTGGGCAACTTGACAATTGTTTTAAGAACCTTGTAAAAGTATAATGAAACTACTGCTAGTATCATGTTCTTGCCCAACGCAAGTATTTCAGAGATATTGTTATTTGTACTTAACCAAAAGATGCCGCTCCGAATGGTACAGTTAATGATAAAGCAATTTAAAAAATAAAACAAACGTAATTTCTAAAGCTGCTGTTATACTGTAACCAATAAGCTAAATATTACTGCTATTCAGAATCGTCAACAATAGATTTTTTATGGATGTAATAGTTGATAGATGTTTAGAGAATTGCAAGTGCTATTTATAGTATCATAGACTCTACCGCTTGAGTATTATCATACTGGGTAGTAAGCGAAAAATCAGTTCGAGACAAGCAACTGAAGTGAGTACATTCGCCTTGTCGTCAAGTTGTCAAGACCAACTTTTTGTACAGAAAATTTTGGGTGCACGGGTCACCCAACCAGGAGTAGCCTAGGCCCAATCTAGTTCAGCTCTGAACATAGGTCTCATTACACTCTAGCTACGAGAACGTAGCTAAAAACGTTGAGATATACTGATGTGTTTGTTTTTAGCTACGATTGGATGCCTTTAGTTCCAAGTGGCAAATTCAATTTCTTTATTAATGCATGTAACATCTTTAAAATAGATAAGTTTATGATATTATGATTAATTAAACTTACAGAGGCCAATGTAGTGGCACAACTGTCGCCTAACTCCAAATATTCGCATTTAAATTAATGAAGCGTTGTTTTTGTCTGACATTTCACTGCCATCGAAATCCATTCATAGTTATTGTGCTTTCGATTGTCCTTTTGATTGGCTGTTATAAAGCCTTATATTTAGCCCCGCCTTCATGATGACAGCATATCGTTTATAAAGATGGCGGTCTTAGTAACCTCTTAACGCCTCGATTTTAAAAACGTTGATTTGTACCCGTTTCAGGTAGGATTATATGCTTAATTGTAGTTGGGTGTTGTAGAAATATTATAAATAACAATAATCAATCGTTGTTTTGATTAAAACTATTGTCAATTTTGTTTAAAAATGCCGGGTGTGAATCGCTCCCGCAGCTGCAACGTTATAGGTAATGGGCTCATGTCTTATCTTGAAACACGGAGGGTTGAGAGACTAAGGTTTGTTATCTAATTACACTCACCCTGTACGTTACAAAGATTTCAATTTTTTTCTTCCAGGCTTACCTAAATTTCGTTTCATATTATATGGCTGAGTTCGTAAATTTGTACGTTACCCTTTCAATGAAGTCAGTCTTGGCCGTAAGAAGAGAGGGACGTATTTTTCAACAGCGTGTTTTGTCACTCATACTGGTTCTAGCGAGGTAAGCAAGGTCTTACACGTATTTTCTCACTTAGATGTTCAGTTACATTGTTCAGGCGCTCACAGGGACTGACACGCGACCATTTAGCAGTAAAAAGTTGTCCAGTAAAATTGACTGGGAAGCCAAATTTTGTCGACAAGGATTCAATAGAAGAGTCCTGAACGTACATGTACATGAGATCTACGTTCAGAGTTGAACTAGGCCTAATCCTATCATCTATATATGGCATTACAGAATTAGTCTCAATCAATCAATGGCAATGCAACAACTGCTATTGGGCTACTATAATTTGTACAATTATGACAATCATCAATAAGTCTAGATCTACCTTAAATGATATAAGATCAATAATAATATTAAAAGTATTAGGCCAAGTTACACGAACCTACTCCTTCAGGACGTCCACCAACACTTTTGATCCATATCAACTGCCTGGTTTCTAATTTGACTTTTAAAGTTCTTCTTTCTGGTTTCTTTCTATAGAAAAACAAGGTTGTCACTAGGCCGATTTCTAATGGTCGGAGAATTTCAACTATTTCTGGTTCCGACAGCCCCCCACCAATGCCATTAGCGATGGGTATGGGGGCAGCCATTTTAATTTTTTACCTTCTCCGATTCCTCCTCTTTAAATAGCCTAATAATGGAAACTCTTTCTTTTTCCTGAAGTTTGCTTTGCTACACCACAGCTTTTGTCGATTAGGTCATGGCTAAATTTATCGTGTTTCCCATAGACGTTGAGTATTTAAGACTTCTGTCATCCTACATGTGCTGGAAAGTAAATAAACCGAGAGTGAGATGTTATTATCTACTCTGGCCTGCCACAATTTTATCTTCCGGGGTTCTCCTCATGAGGTCACAGTTAAAGGGAAGTAACTCTATTTAGCAAAATCTTTTCGGAATAAAATTTCGGACTAATCTAAATTTCTGTCAAAGAAACGAATTATTCGCGTACATCTGTAACCCAGCCTAACCATTTAAAGCAGAGTTATTAATCCAAAGGTTTATCTACATTTTAGTCGTTTTAATTATTATTATTTGGTCGTAATGATGCTTGTTCATTAATACGCGGACGCCAGATCAACTCACCATCCTTGATACAGACATTCTATGCATATTCCTACGAGCCCGATCAGTTTTTATTGGAGTAGGGGGGGGGGGGGGGAGAAACGAAATGCCCGAAAAAAAAAACCTCTCATCGCAGCGATTGTTTATGTGGCTTTGCAACTGAAGTCATTGTCTATACCCACTTGCATTTCAGATTACGGGCGAAATAATAATAATAATAATCCTTTTCCATAACGCTGAACATTCAGTCAGTCTGACTGCTCTGTACGTGGTGCTTAAACAAAGGGACTACACAAATGTGAGTAACAAGTAAAAGTAAAACGATAACAAATATTGAAAGTCAAATATAAATTGACAATGAATAATAGGATAGGCCTACATTTATCAAATTAAATAGATAATTAGGGCCTGCTGTCTTATAATCTGGAATCTGATTACTTTTTTGATATTTCTATTCTTGTGTAGGCTTATTATTACATGTAAAACTGTCCAGTTACATCATTAATGGTATTGTAAAACACGCATTGCAAATTTGATAATACATGTATGCTAATACTAAAACTGTAGAGAACAATATATTGACCGCAGCTGTTGTTATTAGGGGGGGGGGGGGGTGGATGGCTGAATGGTTAACGTGTGCACGCTGTATCATCAAGTCTGTCATTGAGTCAACTGGTGTGGTTTCGAATCTCCGGTTGTACGTGACAAGGAGTAGGGTCGCCTGTCCAACCCCGTGGGTTTTCTCCGGGTCCTCCGGTTTGCTCCCACTGCTAAAGACCCATACGCGCAAGCGAATTATTGAAATAAAATTAAACCATATGTTAGTCCCGAATGACCTAGTTTGTGTCGAGTGGACGTTAAACTCTCTCTCTCTCTCTCTCTCTCTCTCTTCTCTCTCTCTGTTATTGATAGTGTACGGTCATTTTGAGATAAACTTTAATTTTAAAGTGGAAACAAAGCGCTGACTTATTACCGCCAAATAGAGAATTAGGTAACTAACGGTTATGCAATGTGTTTAAGCCGTTAAAACAACCACTGTTTTACAATGTAAATAGATTTGAATTTTAGATTTTGTTTCCCACCAACTAGACCGTTTCTTCATTTAAAGTAGCAGGATCACCCTTGTCAAATCATCTATACAATTTTCCTTTATGTGGAAATCTGAAGAAATCCATGGTAACACCATCGTATCAGTTTACAAACAGTACTTAGACAAGAGAGTGGCGGTTAGCAATTTTAGACCGAGAAGATACTTGTTAGGAATCCGCCGAAATAGTCAAGATTTCAACTTGCATTTTTTTTGTAGGTCTGTACACTTGAATCTAAACCTCTGGACTTATACGAAATACAAGTGAAACCCTTTCTTACATTTGGCCATATAAGTGGCGGTTTTCGTGCTCGAGGTTTAGTCTTTCAAGAACATCAGAGATGAGGATCACATGATATTGTGTAGTGCATCTCTTTCTAATTGTGCTGTGCATTTTCAATGTTATTAATTCTTGCAATAAAAAAGTAAGAAGAAAATAATAAATCCAAACTTGATATAAAGGGCTTTCACAGAAATCGTTATCGATTGGCCAAAACCCGGTGCGTGACAGGTCTGTCTGATTCACTGCGTTACTAACATTCAATTCTTTTCTGTTTAAAATATCAAAACTATATTCTTTTTCTTTTGTACATTGCTATACGGTAAACGATTATACCATATATGCTTGCGGAAGTCATTTAAATAAATAACGTCGTCGTGATATTATATGAACAACATATTGCGGAAAACATTAATATTTAAGCTAATGGTTGTAATATATATGGTTATCACGCCTCACACTATAGAAGGAACCACAGCCATTTCCATTGCATATCAGTGAAATGAAATGAAAGATGTGGACTTATATAATTTGGAGACGATCCTATAAGGTTGTTGTTTTAATCATTATTAACGAGGGGAGACTTTTGCAAGTAAGATTTCTTTATATCCGTGTATAACGATTTTCGCTTGATAAAATTAATGCAATTAACAAAGAGAAACTCTAAAATATGCCTTGCCAGATGAATTTTAGATAATAACTTCTAGAGTTATAGCCCTTGGTGACTTTATAGAATCTTGTGAACGTTCAAATGACAAACGCCTATCGAATATAACAATGCCCACATTTTGCAGAATGTCAATATAAAATATTTCCGTCTCTCAAATCACCTGTATTGCACGCTCGACAGATTGGTATAACTGTAAGAATAAAAATCGTTTAACAGATTCTGATTATTTACGATTACAACAGGTAATTATGGCGCCAACGGCATTTAAAGATACATTATGGGAGATTTTTATAGAGAGTTGGCCATTCTTGCTATAACAGTTCAAAAGTAGATGATGAAAGAAGAATACATTGAAAAATTCAGTCAAATTACTTTATTCTGAACATAGTTATCATCGTTGTAATATTTGCCTAGAAATGGTAGCGAAATGTGTCTTCACTTTCGCCGATCGTTTGATTGACAGGCGTTAACTCCACCTACATATCTCGATTATCAAGTAAAGTTTTCAATGGCATACGGAAACGCTTTACAGCGGCCTCGCTAAGTACACTCTATCATTTAGCCTCGATCTAACTGACGTATTTTCATCAGGTTACCCCTTATTTGATTTAATCAATTAGTGAAATCCTATTTAAATCGAGGAGCCATCCGTGGGTCTACAGAGTTGATTTTGGTCTTGTTGTTTAAATAAAGATCTAATTTATAATTTCTATAACATCTGAAGCCTAAATTAAGACTTGCAATAATCAGATTTAGCTCTTGCATAATGCATGTTTAATAAGAGGATTTATAAAAGGGGCTGTTCTTCTTTCAGGTATCAAACACAGGTCTACCTTTTGATTACCGGTAATTAAATTCTCGCATGTTTTAAGAACGTAACATTTTCTCTGGAATGGAAACACAGCGGGGACGAAGTATTAATACTCGAAAAACAAAATATCATTTCGGAAAGCGTTTCAGAAGATTGAAATGATTTCTATGGGAACTCCACACTTCGCAATTTACGTAGTGTCTAAACCACTGTATATTTATTTCACGTGAACAGATTCCAGATTATTCGCAAAAGGAATGTAAAGAAGATAAATAACTGCAGCAAGAAACTTTCTGTCAATATGCTGTTGGTAGATGATTTATACCACGAGCGGCGGATATCTACAAAAGTTCGGGTTTATCAGTCCGAGAGCCTAAAAATAACATGTGTAATTTTGGTATTCGTTTATCTAATATATTTAGTAATATGTCCACTTATAGAGACATCTAGTTCGCATTTAATAGAATGTAAAAATGGCGGTTCGTACAGTAAAACATATGGATTGCGGGAAGTTTCAATCAAGACTAATAGAAAAATTCCATGGACTGTATATAGAAATTATTTATTGAATAATCCTTCTATTTGTAACAGTGTTAAGTACTTCTTTACTATAATTGTTGTTAATTCAGTACCCGGTAATTTTAAACAACGGGAACGAATGAGAAATACCATTGGAAATCGAACAATTCTACCGGCACCAATAAGAATTGTGTTTTTTATACTGGGTTCTGTGTTAAATGGTTCTTTGCAAAATCGGATAAAAGCTGAACATAATAGATATGGTGACACGATCCAAGTTGATTTTTTAGATACTAATGAAAATTTGACATTAAAATCTGTGCTGGGTTTAAAATGGATAACAGAATACTGCCAAAACACAGAATTCGTCATATGGTTGAACGATGACACAACGGCTGATATTTTCTACCTTCTTATTAAATTTTTACCGTCATATACTGGGACTACAAAAACTATTTTCTGCATAGTACACCTCTCGGAAAAAAAAGGAAACCTAACAAACCCATGGTTCATATTTGACACCCGTTTTAAAAGTAAGACTGGATATTTATTCTTGAATTGTGTTGGACCTGTCGCCATGATTAGTTCCAATATTATTCCTATTTTATACAATGGTGCCGCCCACTTTCCGAATGATGCAGAAAATGTGAAGTTTTATGACATTAAAGATGCTGTAGGACAGAATGTGTACACCCAACACCATGAATGTTTTAACAAACGACACGACCCTTGTTTTTTTATAAGTGGACCAGAGGGAACGCTGTTAAAATATTGGGAATACGCTTATGAAAAACGATATGACTATATATCTGAAGCTGTTGATAATCTGGATGTATTTGAAGGATTTTGATTTTTGTTTTCTTCTTTATTTGACCACCATGGCCTTTTGATAAAATCTTCGTTGTTTTCCATTTAACCTACTAGGGTCGTTGAAGCCGTCCTACAAAAATCGAATTGAATAAAACCACGCACAATATATAATATACTTGTCTGAAATTAGTCGCAGCGAGTGCAACGACGACCTTCATTCCAATCGTCAACATCACTGAGCACGGATTTCTGTTTACTTAATGATGGCCATTGTCATCAATCGTTTGAGAAGCAAGCAATTTTACTACAATACATCGCCTATTATTTCGACTATCGGTATTAGGCAATAGAGGCAATCTCGGGTGCATGCCACTTCGATTTGGATTATGTGTATTTATAACATCCATATTGTTCTTTTATTTGCTGGTTCAACCTCCCTCTTCCATGCACTGATATGTGCAGCCATATCTTATTGCTTCATCTCGGCATCACCCTACTCTACCGCATTGTCACTAGTCACCGAATTGTCCTTCTATTCTGGTTATATTACTGGTTACTACTCATGGATTGTAATACCCGGCTAACAATCAAACTATAATATTAATTTTTGCTCGGGTGTCACTACCGTCACACCCCTATGTCAAGAGTTGGTCACTGGATTATAGGCCTGTAGCATCCCACAATTATATCGCCACAACTACTACATAAATACCTCATGGTTTATTAAGACATTAAAGTAATATAATATATTCTAGAAGAGAGAATAGGGGGATGTGACCAAATGTGATAATATATTTATTGCCGAAATTTGGGAAACAGAGTAACTCACCAACTAACCAACTATACCTCGATTTAAATACCCTTGACCATCGCCAAGAACGGTCGCATTATTGCGTCTTTCTTGTAAATAATTGTTTTGTTATTCATTTTGAATGAAGCCTGTATCATTAAAGAACCACAGAACCAGGACTATACAGCGCAATAGAACCTTACGCCCCCCCCCCCCCCCGGGACCCATTCACTTGATTTGATATTTATTGTTTATTGCTTTCAATATTTGTGTAGTTAGTGTCTTGTCCGCAGGTCTGTCTTATCAGTTTGTCTTTGCGCGTAGTGCGGTTCTCCTGTACTTACTATTTTATACGATCACATTTCAGTGTGGGCGCATTATGCAATATGTTGTGACACTGTCTACCCGTCCGTCCGTCCATCAACGATTGACTTGTGAGACGGAAGAGTTTTCTGTCTTTTTCACACATTAAGTGTGAATCATTGGTATCATGAGAGAACAAACCCTTATATCGTATTTTATCCCCTTTACCGTAAACTCTGCGAACTGATGGAGCCTACAGTTTTTAATAAATTTTTTTTTCAAATTGGTGTAAAGCATTGGAAGTAATATGAGGACGAACCCTATCCATATTCAGTGTTCCGCGACCTTCCGATCCGTTTTTACACGCCCTTTCCAAAAATCTGTAGGGGCTACTGGTTGATCTGATGTTCTCTAAAATTTTAATTGTCATCAGTCTGGTCTTTTTGAACTTTCTATGACTTGTTTATCCTATAACTGTTTGGGCGACTTAGCTGGTGGTGGGTGTATGTTCGTTGTCAGGCAACGTGTTTCCTTATCTTCTAAAACGGCGAAGGCAACGATGTAACAAAAGGCATAATCAGGTCCATCTCCGGATGACTTAGATGCTGGGTGTATGTTAAATATTAATAATATGCCCAAGCACGGTACACAGTCTTCCTATACTTTACCTAATCAAACCCAATTTTATCGCCTAATGTTATTTGTTGTATATATCATTATTTATTATAAGAATAATGTTCATAGTTTTTTCTATGTTCAGCCACGTGGTTCAGCACTGTATAATAGCAATAGTAGTTCATTATGCTGAATGGCTTTTACAGTTTATAAATAATATATATTATTCATTTTAGCAGATGAATCAATCAGAAAGTCATTAGATGTATATCAACACTAAAATGTATAAACTACACAATACTTTAAAATCGCTGTGGTTTTTGTTCAATGGCCAAATGCTGAGAATTTAAAGACAATGTGTACTGTTAAAGGTGATATTTCATACATCTTCGAACTTCAACCCAATTTGGGTTTCGTTTCTTTTTCCCGTTTCAAGTATTATAATCAACGCGTATTGCATATCCCTGAAGCAAGGGACCGAGAAATTCCTCTCTGGCCATTGCTGGATTGGCTTCTGATACTTGATCTTTTGAGGGAGTGTGTATATTCTTCCCGTTCAACAAAATGTATCCCAGGTACAGCAACATGACAGCCCTTCGTTTAATCTGGGGTCTTCCCTAAAACTTTGGACAGTGATTTAAGGTATTAAAAACGGTTAAAGTATTATTCGTCTCCAAACAGTATTGTTTACATTGTATACGTGTTGATAGCCTCGTTTGTCACGCAAATAGTTTTTCTACAATATTCTCCTATGCACTTGTTAATTGGGCTGCTTGGGCATAATAAAATCCAGAGTCGTAACGTTATGTAAACATATTTGGTCCAATTTGGAGCTCTGTTAAAAGCGTAATGATATTGTTACGCAGTTAGCTATTGGTTGTTAATCGGGCTATTGTCCAGTCATAATTTGAAACAAAAATTTGCTTCTATTACAGCAGTGTTAAGTGGGATTAGCTCTAATCAAACGAAACAATTCGAGGAATATGTCCGTATTGTGAAAGAGGATAATATATGAAATCACTCTTGTTTGTACTTAACTGAATACGCGAAATAAACTAAGCTACACGCATTTAGACTAGACAGCTATTATTTCACCTGGATACGCATTTAGACACATTCTGGTGCGCATTTAGACTATCCATTCTGATAGACATGTTAACTTGTTCACATTGATTCACATTTAGACTTTTCCATTCTGACGTACATTTATACTATTTCACTTTGATGCACATTTAGAATATTCCATCTTGCTGCATATTTAGAATAGTCCATCCTTATTATACAAATTTAGACCATTCCATCCTTGTTATACACATTTAGAATATTCCATCCTTGTACAAATTTAGAATACCATCCTTGTTATATACCATTAGAATTATTTCAATCTTACTTTCATCACAATCTTAACTGTTAGATATCAACTCCATTTTTTACCTTTGGTTTACTGATTTGATCTTGAGAGCGCCTTTACTGGGCACCATTTCAATTAGTTTTATATGACGTCCGTATAAACTGGATATTTCTGTCATCAGACATTTTTTAACATTAAGATGGGTTTCTGTGGTGTACCGTTCGGATCAGTTCGAATAATTTGTCGCCTGGCGTCGGGTTTTGGTGTTGATGTACATAAAACGTCACCGAAGGGCTCAAAACTTTCATTCAATGGCACTTTATTATATCCAACGTTTTTCGCGTGTAAGTCACTATTTGAATTGCCTTCAGTGCAATTTCTGACTGAATTTCGAAGTGGTTCAATACCTGAAACAAAGGAAAACATTATAAAAATCATAATGGATAACACTAAACATACATTATGCAAGAACTAAAAATGTCTATTGCAGGTCTTTCTTTGGGCCTGAAATGTTATCTAAATTATCAATTAGACATTAATTAACCTATCCAGACCATAATCAACTCTAGATGTCATCGCTAGCCTGTGATCTTTAGTAGATTATGAGCCGATTTACTGCATAATTTTCCTTCACGATTTAACGATTAAATGGATAATCAAGACTATGCAGTTTATCGTACTGACTTGATGATCGAGGCTAGGCGAAAATGTCCATCGCTTAGTTCTCGGTTCATAGTGGATCAATTTGAATGAAATTTTCAGCAAATTGCCTTTACATTATCTAGTTTTTAACTATTATAGTGAGAACTGCCAAACGTTATCGAATCTCCCATAAATGTATCTTAATGAATTTGAGTGTTGCACTTATATTTTGCACATATTTACTGAACACTTCCTGTACTTACGCAGTGCTTTTCCAAACGTTCACTCCCATACCAAATGTGCTAGTACACACGCATTTTACAACAGGTTAATAGATGGTTCAGGTATGGTAGTAGATTGGGGGCCCTTTAGGTCGTTTTTGATAAACTGACATTAATTGCATAGGCTAAATTTGTGCATATGCTAAATGACCACTATTTACTGTCAGTGTTTAAAACCATTCCTCGCGCGAGTGGGGGTGGGATGGGGGGGGGGGGCTAGAGGGGCCCCCCAGTTCGCCCTGAGATGGCTAAACAATATTTATTTGCAATGTTCAAAATCATATATCTAAGTTACAGTATGTAGGATATGATGCGTAAACATGCTTATAAATATAGCTTTCAATAGTTTTTCTAATCGAATTCTTTCGTCTTACCTGAGGTACCCTGGTTTCTTAATCGATGTCTACGATGTACCCAATAAACGATGACGAAAACAACAATAAGAGTCACTAGAAATAGAACACCAATACTGATAGCTAAAATAAATCCAACAGATAAACCGCGGACGTCACTGTTAAAAGGCACAGTCGGACCAGGTGCTGAAATTAAAATGAAAAAAATGTGATGGATAACGGTAACAAATTTGAACCTGAAAACTTGAAGCACTTCAGAAACGATCGGGTGTGTTGTGAGTGGCCAGACAAAATGGGGTTTGTCGTCATTCTTTTCTACACCAACCGGGCTAATCAAGACGTGTATGCGGTTTTAGTCCGATTGGGTTTGCTACGATGTGCTTATTTAGATTAAGTAGTGGTGTTTGGCGTCAATAAATATGTTTTCAGGGTCACAGATTCAATTTCTGCCAATTACAAGATGGTGGCCATTTTTTTTTTGGGGGGGGGGGGGCGGGAAAATGGGACGATGTGCTGATATTGATTAAGTGGTCATGTTTTGTGTCAGTATGTTTTCTGGAAGCAGATTCGATTTCTGCCATTAGCAACTGCGTGAAAAGATGGTATGTTCACTTATTCAGCATATTACCAAGATGGCTGCCGTTTGTGGCCGGGCGTTTTCTAAACACATTACTGAAACGGTTTCTGAATCCAATTCTGCTATGTATAAGCTTGTAGCACGTTCTGGAAGTCATTGCCGTGTTTGACCCATTAGGTATATCAGCTCAGTGGTCATCTCGGATCAGTAATTTTCATCGTTGGATAATATACCAAATGGGTCCGACACGGTACCGGGTTTCAGGAATGTGCTACAAGCTAATAGCCTACATAGCAGAATTGGACGAAGAAACGTGTAAATAACAAAGACAAGTAAATATAAGATAATAATACGTTTAGAAAACGTTCTGCCGACTTGAAAATATGCTAAACTGATCATTGATCATTTTACGCACTTGTATATGGCAGAAATCGAATCTGCGCAACCGAAAACATATATATTGACACCAAAGACAACTACTTAAACAAAATCAGCAAATCGTTCGATTTTTCCGCCACAAGTGGCAGCAATATTGGCAATATGCTAAATATGTGAACATGTCATTATCTTACATAGTTGTAAATGTCAGAAATGATATCTGCGCCCCCGTAAACATATATATTGACACTAAACACTACTACTTAATCAAAATCTGGACATGTCCCAATTCCCGCCAAAAGTGGCTGCCATCTTTGAAATATGCTAAGTATGTGAGGATATGATCAATTTACAATATTGTAAATGTTAGAAATGGAATCTGCGATCCCGAAAACACATATATTGACACCAAACACTACTCTTAAACAAAATCCTCACACCGTCCCATTTTCCCACTAAAAATGGCCGCCATCTTGGGACTATCTTCATGAAGTGATGGAAAAAAATTGGAAATATAGCCATGACCCCTGTCAATACTAATACAGTGCCAAATCACAGTTGATATGTCGATAACATTATAAGTTGGAATATAATCGAAAATGGCTACCCTCAGATAATGGCCTCCCATACCATGAAGACCTACTCAAAAAAACTGTCAATCTGATTAAATACAGATCTATATTTCGTTTGGTTTTTTTTTTATAAATTTCCGATGGCCTACACTACATGAAGATCTGACAAGTTGTTGCGATAGGTCGCGTCAGAGGTCATACGAGCGGCTTTTGACCTATGACGTTTGATTAACCAATCAGCATTGATGTTACTAGTGGATTACCTGCAGTTCCGTGCAAAACACGCCTAAAGCTCGCCGTAACAGATCGTTTCATTGGCTAATTCCTCACACCATTCAGAACATGTCAATGATAACAACTCTTCCAGATCCTTGTTTAGTAAAGATAAGTAAAACGAAATTTTGAACTATAAAAAACGAAAGGAAATAGGATCTGTGTTTTAATCAGATTGAAAAAATGTCAACATTGTTTTTTTGTCATTAAACATCGAAACCTTCAAAATAAAGGTTGTTCCAGGATTTCTACCAGAAAAACAGACGGATTTATATTAAAGATCGGACTACTTGCTATTAGGAGAAATTTACCCAGACACTGGCGCTACAGCCTATTCTTATTTCGAATTCCAATGGTAAAGGGTTCTTTTATGTGCACACCAAGGTGTACAGTGGACTTTGTTTTTTTCGTCACAAAGCTGCATATGGGATTCCAAATACTGTTTTATCCAGTTTTATTTACAGCTCATTTAACCTTTACAATTACGTCAGTGATAATGCATGTTTGAACATCGGTCGGAATCTTGCAACAGCCCCGAAGATGGACGATGATTCACGATAAAAAAATTTGCATATTGACTTGAATAGGACATACTTATTATAACTAAATAAATAACAATAACAACTTACTGTGACAAATATTCTCATCTGAGTTGTTCCCACAATCATCCTGACCGTCACAAACTAATGCTGGGTTTAAACATTTACCATTAGAACAGGTGAACATATCTGTCCTTGTACAGGCTGTATTAAACAAAACAACACGTTTGATTAAAGGAATGTACATTGAATTTGTGCGATTCGTGTGATAAAACGAGGGCTAAAACGTTAGCTAAAAGAGATAGCTAAAAGATCATTCCCAACTTCTCTGTTTCATTAGCCAAGTTTGTGCGTTAAACCCAATTTCACTTCATTCTTAGCTCGTAAAGTATTGTATGTATATATTTATGAATGTCTGTATATTAAATAAGGCATGCGGTGTTCCACACTTTCTTGTCCCTCCACTTTGGTGTCTATTAGCCCAAGTTGAATTACGTCCGAACTGCTACTAAATATTTTCAACTATCTAAACGGTGGTGAGTATAGTTATCGCCCAATATTTTTTCAAAAGTTGAGAAACTGGATTTACTACCGAAACTACTACCGTAGAAAGTTGATGAACGTGATTTAGTTGTTTTGTATCGTGGCCTTATTTCTGACCCGTATCAAGGTCAGCATCTTTATCTTAAAGATCACTGAACATAATATAATTTAGTTCACCACCCGTTGATATTTTTTTATATATTATACAAAAGTGTCATGAATATATCAATGGTTGACGTCTATTGCGACCAGATGTAGGAAAAACATTACATCTATTATTACCAATTTCTATACTCACGACAATACTGGTTGTTAAGGATACAGGCGCCGCTTTCACAAAACTTGTATTCACGAGGCCTGTCGTAACAGTTTTTGATATCTCGGGTAACACGCAACCACATTCTGGCTAAATAAAATAAAATAAATTATAATAAAAGTTAAATATGTTAAGAAAGAGAGAGTTTGGGGTGGGGGTGGAGTTATTTTGAAGACTGTTGTTATTACATAAAGGCGTACGTACGCATCTTGTCTTGGTTTTCAAGAAGAAAAACAAAGGGATTAGGGACTAAAGTGGGCTAAAGTTCCTTGAACATTATGCAGTTCCACTGATAGTTCCCGACTGCTGGAACGACGCCGGAATTTGTTCAGTTAGGATTAAAATCATTTTTCCGCCAAAATTTTTTATTTGTAACCTTTTTACCACGTTCATCATAAACATGAAACTTATGAAAACTATAATTACCCACAACGTAAATTCGTCACATATTATGCCCACTTGCAGGTTTCAAGCAGAAGAAGTTTAGGATTTTAGCTCTTCTGTCAGTTTTGACCGAATTGACGAGTTGCCTTCAAGTGCCAACTCACCTGCCCCCTGATATATGTTGACAAGCATTGGGTGTGACTGGACAGAAACACATGGGAGATGTACTTCACATTAAAGCGGAAATTGCAAATTTTCTAAGAATGTCAAAACGTAATTATTTCTATGTCTTTTGCTCAATAGGTTGTCAACTCACAATTATACGATCATAGGTGTCATTCTCACACTTAAAACTCATTTACACAGGAAATAATAACACAATTACCTCCCAATTACCTCCCTTGTTTTCTATTCTCCACCATGGAGTAGCTTTTTCAAACGTTTGAAAATGAAGAGGAAAATGATATTTTTGCCAATTTCTCAGCTGGCAATAGTGAATTATAGGTTTAATAGGATTATTCTTTAACAAGGTAGGACTGTTTATGGATATCATCTATTTTCAGGATTATTTTAATAAATTTTAAAAATATAACTTATAAATTTGCAATTTCCGCTTTAAATGAAGGCAAATATAATTTGAAGAAAATACCAACAAAATATGGTATCTACTCAAATCATTATCACTTATGTTACAGTAACTTAAGACACCTAAATATCAAGAGAAGACATTAGGTAGGTATGTGTGTATAGGTATTTGGTGCGGTGACCTTAGTTTACCTATATCAACTTTTGTTTAGATTTAATATATTTACTTACTTACACACTAACACGTGCGGAAAATGTTGGGTAATTATACACGCGCAAGACTGTCAGTTTATATAGATGAAGGGCGTTATTTTTAACATTTCATCGGGCCTACGCGATATATCTATGTATGTATATATAATTTTGCCTGGGGAGTGGTATTTGGATGTGTGAATAAATTATTAGAGATATATATTTCTACCACCCATCGGCATTGCTAGCACTCTGGTAGAGTGAGGCCGATGGAGGGATAAGAGCAGCTAGTCTTGTCAAAATAATGTCCAACATAACAGAAATATGCTACATACCATCATAATAAGAACTGCATTGCATTAAAATAATGCATTTTTAAAACTTTTGATCTGGCTTGTCAGTATATCACAAAGTAATGAATAATTAAATTTTTCCGACAAACCAGTTTTTTTTCTTTCTTTTTTTTAAAAAAAACGACAGATAGTTATCAACTGATAAATGATTCACGTCATGTATATTGCCCTCATGCTTTTATAAAAGCATTCACTTTGAAGATTGGAATAATAACAAATATATAAAATACATCTCTATATCGTACACAATGATCATATACCATTGCGATTTGAATTTATATAATAAAAAACGTCACGGTACCTATTAGCAGAGTTAATTTAAAGGAGCTGTCTACATGTAGATTAACGTATAAAAGAAATCTTTGCTCTAGTTTTATACAGCTACTCGAATCTCTGTTAAAGGAAATACAGGGTTCTCAATTCCACGCGGGGTTGGTGATATTTCCCCAATTCAACACTATATAAGAACCTGGGTATATATTATGCTTTGTAATCGTCGTGATTATCAAATCAGAAAATCTGGAGATTGAGATTGGATCTATCGAATAGTGCAATTTGGTTATTTCTTCACATTATGTTGTGTGGTTAATTCATAACTTGTAAAATCTGGGACAGACCTGCTATATATTTGATATAAAACATAACCATACAATGTGAGCAATAGATCAGTTCGTTAAGACACACCAAGAAAGAGAGTTAGGAATTTAAAGTCTTAACAAAACTAAAAGAACAGACACAATCCTTGAATGACATTTAGCGATTGAGAATAAAAAAAAACACAACATGACATTTTGTGCTTGAAAACGATAGGAGGACACTTGTCGAAACGCCGTAATAAAACCAGGGGTTGTGAAAAAAATATGTTGTGCATTTTAAAAGAAAAGACGCTGTAAAAATAAAACCTCCAAAAAACTAAACGCAATTTCAAATTTGAATTCGCGAAGATATACGTATTATATATAATGTCATATTCAGCTTAATCTGACTTTATGATTCGATGAACAGCTTTATTATAAACTTTTACCTTGCGGCTAAAAGGCATGAATTATTTCCTTGCAGCTGTATTTTTAAAATAATATCTTATATCATATAGTCGCGTTTAAAGTCTTTCAACGTGAGAAGAAATTTCATGTTTATCAGTATATTAGCCTGCCACAAGTAATTTACATGGTATGTATTTATATTATAAATAATAAAACATTATTTATAAACAATATTTTGATTATAGTTTATCATCCATATAGCATGCGCACATTTATTCTATTATAGAAAAATGCAATATATATTACAAACTCCTACCTTTCAATATGACATTTTTCAATATTTTGCTTCATAAATCACAATATCCCATTCTTGACTATTGGATATATATGTGTATAAGTAAGTGAGTTTGTATGATTACTAGAACTCTTTATTTAACCACTTGAAACATCTTGTATACCGTGACCCAAAATATTTCAACCGCAATTGTCCTGTCTCTTTTTTTTCTTTGTTTCGTAGAAGGATTTTTGAGACTAGATAAACTAGTCTGAAACACTGGTATGTGACATATTGCACTAGTAATGAAAATAGGTCTGGACGAAAGCATAAAATATAAACGCCTGAATTCTTCTTATGAATTAAATTTCAAACATTGGATATAACTGAAGGGGAACTTTAAAACTTACTGCGACGGTGTGTTTTAAATCATCTAATCTCACCTCTAAGTTCTTTCTCTTTATTAAATTTGAAATAGTTTTGTATTTCTTTCTATTAAATCGTATCAAGTCATTTCCAATCAACACATAGTGTAAACATGCCTATAATATCCTACCAATTTCCATATTTCTAAAAATATAACTTTTGACGTGAATCTCAATTTCTTAAATTATTTGGCAAAGAAAATTATGGCGTTTTTTTTCATAAAATTTCAAACCACAATCTGTTTTTCGCATCTCATCCCCACTATGTTTTAGACTCGTTTTTATATTATTAATGATATTTGATTATGCGTATATGCATTCCGAAATATCAGGTCCGAAATGACCTTATTTTCTGAAAATTGGGTTACTGGCATAACGTTAAATTAAAAATCTTCACATCTAGATGAACACAACGTCAGAGATTGAGAAGGGTTAAAAGATATATAGTATTGATATTGGCCACAAAATATAAACGGACTGTGTTGAGAGAGAGAGAGAGAGAGAGAGAGAGAGAGAGAAATGGGGTTTCACGTTTACTCGACACAAACTAGGTAATTTCGGGACTAACATATTGTTTAATTTTATTTCAGTAATTCGCTTGCGCATAGGGATCTTTAGCAGTGGGGGGAAATCGGAGGATCCCACGAGGTTGGACAGGCGACCCTACTCCTTGTCACATAGAACCGGGGATTCGAAACCACGCCAGTTGACTCAATGACAGGCCTTTTGATACAGCACGCACGTGCTAACCATTCGACCATCCAACCCCCCGTGTTGACACAGGGTGTACACTTTACTAGTAATTACTTTAGCAATGCTGTAAAGATAGAGCTGGCACGATAGCCGGTGTCCAAGTCGCCGTGTCCAGTCCAGTCAATTATAATTATAATTATCATAGTGTCTTGAAATGAATGTCATAAAAAATAATTATACACGTATGTCAGAAAACAAGAACTAAAAAAACGAAATGGAATTTGTGTTTTAATCAGATTGACAAGAGCAGAATCTGTCCATATACAATATTTCAAATTTACTTATCTATCTCTCTCAAGAATTTATTTAACACACGTGCATGATCAACATCCCAAAATAATACTTTTAGACATTTTTAGAACGATTTTGATTAATATATTTTTTTTTGACATTTGTCTATAAGAGTACTGACACCTTAGAATAGCGACAATATTTTATTCAATTATACTCTCAATATGACAAGAATCACTGTCGAGTACAATGATTTTATTATAAGATTATATATATGTAAAGGTGCTCTAGATATTTGACCTTATATACAGCACTTGTTATATACGAGGTTAAGCACCTATTTTACATACATTTACATTAAAGGGGTGTATCACTGAATGTTTATATAGATTAATTCTCGTATTTCATTTATATTAAATCTCCATATATTTTTGTTTATAATTCCACAGGAAATCTTTTAAAACCAGATTATAATAATATTAGCATTATTTGGAACTGATATATGAAGGATTATTTGACTGGTAGAATTTAAGATTGGGGGTGGGGGGGGGGGGAGTAACTTGAATAGGGTTGTTTATGAATCTAAGCACAGAATTAAATGTTATGAAATGGGGTTTAACGTCCTATTTACTTTTCTGAACCGATTGGCTAATGAAGACGGGGTCTCTAAGTACGAAGCTCAAAGACTGATATTAATATAAAAAGCGTAGTAAACACAAGTGAATCTATTTGCTACGAAACTAGCCATATTAATAATCTAAGATGGAATTATTAATATTCTACGACAATGGTTCTTTTCGTAATATTTGAAAAAAAAGAGACCATTAAGACCGCCTTCCGTTGGTGTGCAGACAAAACCAATATATGGAATTCCAGAAGAAAGGACTTTGATTGTCTTAATTTGTCCTTT